TGCAAAGGAGAGAAGATGATTATGCATTGATGAATATGATGATCTAATTGATGATTGAGCAAATAAACACCACCCCTTTTACATTGTCAAAGGCATCTAGGATGCGTCTGAGGTGCATGACAATGATTGGTCTCATACTATTGCATCCCAAACAACGATTATTTGTGTAACTAAACCCAAAAAGCTTGTTACTAATCGGGCATTTCAACCTTCCAATGCAACCATATCAATCATATAGATTAGCATAGACAGATAACATATCTATCCTAATGACCCAACAATGTCTTGTTTCTTTCAAAGATAGTGCTTATTCTGATTTTATCCTATGCAAAACTGTCCTGCAAGAGTTACTTGTATTCTCCTAGAACGTCCTTGGTTTTTTTATCAAGATGTGCAACATTATGGAAGAGAAATTACTTACTCTTTTTTATTATAGCAAGATAGATTGTTTTGAAGCCTACGAATGCATTTTATACAAAGGTGTAAGCAAAGAAAGGGAAGAACTATGACAAGAAAGGGACCCATAAGTCTGAAGATAACATTATAGGCAAGAAAAAGCAAATCCAAATTATGACAAAACAGAAACTAGACATGGAAAGCAAAGACACATGAAAAGCAGAATCTATTGTTCTGACAACAAGAATTAGCTCCAGCCTATAGACCACCAGATACCAAGGAACACCTCATTTATGAGGACAGCCATACATTCTTGAAACATTTTTCAATCACCAGGAGAGAGACCCCCCCACCCCCCACCCTCGGTTCATGAGTGTAGAAAGAGGCTGTCCCCAACTAGGTTCTAGGAAAGAAGATGATTTTATCCCTGTTGTTGCCACATAGGGATTCAGGATTCAACATAACCAAACTGGTTTTTAAAGATTTTAACCATGATTCGAAAAATTATGTATTCACATGTTCTTTTAATCACTTTGTTTTCACTGAAAATTGATAGAATGAAACGACCATGTAGCTGTTTCTTGGAGTGTACAGCACTAACAATTCAATAACACCTCAGGAAGAAACATACGTGTCGTTTTACCTGCTCTTGATCACATATGCTCAAACATTCAAAAACAAAATCAAGCATGGAATAAAGATTATACGAGTAAAAATATTGTAAAAGGGTTACTATTCAGTGAAATGAAGGGTTAGTTAGTGTTGGTGGTTAATTGCAAGTAATTAGGGGTCTGTTACAAAATTAGTTGCACGAGGCTTCTACAAATAGGATATTTGCTGCCAGTAAAAAACAGAGAAAAAATTAATCAAATGAGTCCCGAACCCTAATATTCTCCCTTGTCTCCCTTCATTCTTCCCGAAACCCTAATCCCCAATTTCTATTCTAAAAACTTCCTCTAAATCTTATTCTTCTATTCTCTCTTTCCCTTCTATGGTACTTTTGTAAAACAGCTTACATAAGATTCTGTGACCGCAGAACAATAAAGGATGAATGGATTGGTGAAAAAATAAAATATAACCATTGATGAAACAATAGAACGAAATGGATGAATATGAACCCAATACTCAATTCAGAAGAAAGTCTCAATTTAGAGCTTAAAAAATTATATAATTTCAAGAGAAACATGGACAAAATGCACATCATTAGTTACATTTTAGCACCAAATATTCACCACCAAGTACCTGTATCGGATCAAAAAAAAATCCAAATAAGTCTAACAGCGGTGTTCGTCGGCGTAGAGCTGACGAGCATTTCATGGCCTCATCGTTCGACGACTGTTGAGCTGCAAAAGTGGACAGAGGATGAAGAGTACAAGCGGTCTGGGATTGGCGTCAGGGGAAGAGTAGAGATTCTGCCTCTAGCTCGTTTAATTCATCAAGACTCAGGCATGAAAGAAGCTTTTCCGGTTCGATCCGCTAAGCATTGGGCCTGAGCTGTCGGGTACGACCCGAAGGCTCGTGCTAATCAGAGGGATCCGAACAGGCCGCCTGGGCTGCTTTTGTGTCAATTCGGGCCTGATTAATTTTTAAATTGTCAATGTTTTTAAAATATATTGAAGTATTTTAAATAGTAATTCTAATAATTCTTTTTATATTTTAAAAATAGTTTTAATATATTTTATTAAAAATTATTTTAACTAAATTGGATGAATCTAAACTAGATTTGGATAATGGTCAGTTATCCTCAACAAATTTTTTTAGGTGGTTGATTGTTTAACATAATTTAATATTAAAACTACATTAGTATCTAATATTAAAAGAACGATTTAATGAACTTTTCATTTGGTGATATTCCATATAAGGGGAATGCCCATAGCGAATGAGCAAGTGCCATCTAGCTCTCTAGTTCTCGCATTTTTTAAATGTTCTGTCGAGAATTTTTTGGATTTTGTCAACTTTAGACTTAGGTGTTTTTTTATCTTAGTATTTTTGAATCTTCATATTCTTTATAATTAATCCTATTAGAGATTATCGTTGATTATAGTAGGTGCAAAATTCAAATAAATCATATGCTCTCTAAAAAATAGTAAGGTGAGGCATGACTTGTATTTATGGATTATATTATGTAATAGCAAATGATTTAACCAAAATATGTTTACTCAAAAATATTTAAACAAAGAACTTGAGAGTAAAAAATTTCAAAATTTTTAAGGTTCTTTTACATTTTAAAATATTCTATAGTTTTTTATTTTTAAAATTTACATAACATTATTCACAAAAATATGTAAATTCAGTAGGCAATTGGCTACAAGTCCTAAATTCAAACATTGTTTACTTGTTTTTAGTAATTTTATAATTTTATGTGATTATAAACTTAGGTTGCTGTTAACCTAGCATTTTGGATTCGTAATACTTTTAATAAACAATACTGTTTAAAATTATTATGGAGTTGCAAAAAACAAGGGGAGCATACTCCAAAAAATTCATTTATAAAGGAAGTCACAATATTTTTTTTTTAAGGAATAGTCATCGTATTACTTTTATATATGGATTATATCACTGTAGTAGTAAATGATCTAGTCGAAAATTACTTCCTCTAAAAATGCCAAGCTAAAGACTTTGACCAAAAAAAAATTAAAAAATCAAGCATTTCGTGGGTGTTGAAGTGACATACGTCAAAGAATGTATGTTTTTCCTTAAGTAAAATATGTTTTATCTCTTTAAGGCAAGCTAAACACTTAGTTAAAATTTGCAAATTAGCCAGGATACCTATTGAAACTAATCATAGACAAAAGCGAAAAAGAAATGACGTTGTAGTATATTGGTTGAAAGATTTATTTATTTATTTATCCAACACAATGTCACTTATATTGTGAGTATAGTGAGTCAAATAATATATGATCTAATAGAAAACACTTACAAACTCTCTATAAGATTCTACACTATCTCGATGCCACATTTAGAAATGGTATCTTGTCAAATATGAGTAAAGACTTGCTCAAAAAACTTATTTATATTTTGACTATATCATTATTTATATTTTAACTATATCATTTATATAGTAGACATAAAATCTATATTATGTTACCTTATCTTTCTTAGTTCCTTAGTGGTAATCTAGTGACAAGGATAGGTAAACAAAAGATCATGGCTATGAGAGCAAGTGTTAAAACTAGATTTAATGTCATGACAGATGAAGTTTGTGAACTTTAATAGCAAAAGATGACTACATTGACCTTAAAAATGAAATTAAAAAAAATCTAAAAAAGATTATCAGAATAACACTACTATTATTGGTATTAGATATAACTTAATGTAATATGATTGCACTAAACATATCGAAGTGGATAAGTATTTTACAAAAAAAGATAATGGCTTAATTAACTCTTTGTAAATCCCATTAAGTGATTAGTTATAAGGAGCTTTAACCAAAAAAATGTCTACTTCTAAGTTTAGTTTGCTGAGAATTGAAAGCATTTAATCATTAGCTTTAAGGGTAGAGTTCAACCTCTTGATACAAAATAGATTAGCTTTGAATTACTTAAATAGATGAGAAATCATAATTCTATTAAACACAAACTTGCTATGTTATTTAGGAATCTAAACTTGTAGTTTAGGATTTTATTCTTATTAATATTTTTATTTTTCCTATTTATATTAATAATATTATTCCTAATCTTCTTAGTGTTAGAATTTTCCATCTTATTAGTAGCAATATTTTTTATCTTATTAACATTAGTATTTTTTAATCTAAGTTTGTACATGAAGACTTACTTAACATCTCATAAATATCTTTATAATATGTTTGAGCCATAACGTAGTTATTCAATAACATATTTCTATTTTGAATTTCTAGTTTTGTAATGCAATAAAAATTTTTATACTTTTTAAATATGATGCTTAAGAAATATTTAGTGTAATGTTTAAGTTTTTATTCCAAAATCTTAAAGTACGCACATTAACCATAATTTGCTATAAGTTAAGTTTAGTATTGAAAAATTCAAAGTTAGTATATTAAATATCTAAAAAATTTAAAATTAGTATATTAACTGGTGTAACATTTTAGATGTACGAAAAGTTTAATTTGCCAAAATGAAATTTGTTGGAATCACAAAAATATGATGGTACAATATCGATGAGAATATAATAAGATAGAGACAGTCGACAATAGAAATATAGGATGAGATAAAAAGTTACTTTATTCTAACGATGAGAATATAATAAGATAGAGGCAGTCGACAATAGAAACATAAGATAGAAATAAAAAAATATTCTATATAAAAAATATCTACCTCTCAATTTATGAGCAAGTTTATATGTTGAGTCTAAACAACATGTCACTAACTAAGTATAAATAGAAGTTTGAAGAATTAAGGATTTTGAGTTAATTAGTAGAAGATGATAGCACACAGTTACCCAGCTTTCTTTTCTTTGATGTGAAAGAATATTTGAAATATTCAGTTTTAAAAAACATCAAGTTTCTAATTATCGAATCTACTCCTAATGATATTTTT